GTGTTTGTTTTATCTTGAGTACGATTCAAAACTAAAACCAAACTGTTTTTCCCCTTCAAACTTGAAAGGACTCATTTATATTTGTATTTTTCAAATTGAAAAGATGAATTGATCATGGTGTAATTGATATCCAAGAAGTTTTAAGCAACTCATAACAAGATTCGGTGTCACTATTTAAACTTCACGGCTTCGGATCGAAAATATCTATTTAATATTAAGGAATTGATATTAAATGAATTCATTTCTATTTAATATTTCTTTTAATACAAGTATATAATTACACGGATATCTATCATTGGGTTGGATTGAAAGAGGAATCATTTTAAACTATTGAGCCAAATAATCAATCTCGGCCGTTAGAGAAAAAATGATCAAATGCCAAAATAAAAAGTTGTGCATTAAGAGGGTGGACGCACGTCACCGGATCATATAAAGAAAATCCACCTTTTTTTCGTTTTTAAAATTTTTATGATATATATTTATTTATTATTGAAAAAAACGAATATACCAAAATTTATAATTCTTTATCCTCTTTCCATGAACATTTATATTTATATGTAAAACATACTTTTTTTCGACAAAGAAAAACTTGGTTTGATTTTTTAAATTTTTATCGAAAAAATAACTAAATATACAAAAATTAATAGTTGTTTGTCATCTATAAATAGACATTTATATCAATATATAAATTTTTTTAGTTTTTATTTTCATCTTGATCTTGTCGAATGAATATGTGAATCTGAACAATATATAATTCAGTTTTTATTATTCAAAATATAAACCCGACTTACTATTTCAACATTTTGATCATTCACAAATAGCAATAGCAATCGGACGTGTATTAGTGATCCCAATTATAAAACTTTATCTCAAACCCGGTCCCGTCCCATCGGATACCCGATAAATTAATACCATTAGGTTTTGAAGGTATACCCATGGGTATCGGGTATCAATTTATGATATTAACAAGTTAAAATTTACTCATTGGAACTTTCATCGCTCAAAACCCAATCCATAATTATATCAAGAAAATGACTTGCTTTCTTTTACTAATTCCACTTTTAACAACATCAACAAGTTCACTCTCTAACATATGTTACACAAACTAATCATCACCAAAAAATATTATAATTTCCAATTTTTGTGATAAACTAATCAAGATCATAACATAAATATTAAAAGCAATATAAATTATATCTATTTTCGTAAGTAAATAGTAATTACATAAGAAAAAAAAATCTATTTATAATATCTCATATAATATTTTAATATAACTTTGAAATCTTATATATTAATAACCAAAATATTTTTATCATAAAATATAAATGGTTCGAGGACAGGTAAATGGGACCGCATATGGGATCTGGTAATCGGGCGGGAATAACCCTAATACCACAAGCATCTTAAACCCGTGCAAAATTGTTTTAGAAAAAATATCTCATACCCCGTCTCATAACCATTTACCCTCCCCAAAAGTTTTGGGTTCAGGTATTTTTTCTATCCATATTCTCAAATTAATTTAGTGAAATTTATAAGTGAATTACTTGTTTTCACATCTAAATTCGAATAAATATTCAGATTCACAAGTGAATCGAAGTATATTTACTTGTAATTTTATATTACATCAACGTTTTAATTATTCATAAATTAGTTTTATAAGATTAGCAAGTGAATTTATTCGCATTGTGAATCTGAATTATATATAATTCAGTTTTAAACATTCACAATAAGAATCTGAATAACTGTTTCAACACTTATATCATTTACAAATCTTGTGAAATTTACAAGCGAATTACCTGTTTCCAAATCTAAATTCGAATAAATATTCACATTTACATATAAATCAAAGTCTATTACTTGTAATTTTATACTATTTCGACGTTTTAATTATTCATACATTAGTTTTGTAAGATTCGCAAGTGAATTTATTCACATTGTGAATATAAACTGTATATATTTACATTTTTAACATTCACAATGTGAATCTGATTAATTATTTCAACACTTTGATCATTTAAAAACTAATTTAATGAAATTTACAAGTGAATTACTTGCTTTCGCATCTAAATTTGAATAAATATTCATATTACAGGTAAATCGAAGCATATTACTTGTAATTTTATATTATTTCAATGTTTTGGTTATTTATAAATTAGTTTTGTAAGAATCGCAAATGAATTTTTTCACATCATGAATCTAAAATTGTATATAATTCAGTTTTTAATATTCACAATGTGAATCTTACTTGCTCTTTAAACACTTTGATCGTCACAAATTAATTTAGTGAAATTTATAAGTTACTTGTTTTCACATCTAAATTCCAATAAATATTCATATTTACATGTGCGAATATTTACTTATAATCATCATATTATATCATACGGTAAATGAAATATTTTTCCTATCACCATTTGCATTTGAAACCTCCATTACCTTTCAATTTCCAACTTAATATAATTGATCTATTAATTTAAAATATGTTATTAAACGCAAAATAATATTTTTATTGGTAGACTTTGACAATGATTATTATAATACACTTAAATGTTAATTTAAATATTATGTTAAATTCAAAACATAAATCAAAATATATAATAAGCTTAAAAATATATTCAAATACTATTCTTCAAAATAGTTAAAATGGTTTAAGTGTTGTAAATACAGAATGACAAGTCAAATTAAATAAAAACATCAAAAAAATTATTTTTTATTATAATTCTTTTTTTTTTCAAATAAGTGGTTTTTAATTAAATAACATATTATAAATGAATTATTTTTCCTATCACCGTATATATTTGAAACATCCATGACATTTCAATTTCCAACTTAATATAATTGATCTATTGATTTAAAATATGTTATTAAATGCAAAATATTTTTTTATTCGTAGACTTTTAAAATTATTATTATAATACACTTATTTGTTAATTAATATTATGTTAAATCTAAAATATAAAATAATCTTAAAAATATATTCAAATACTACTTTTCAAAATAGTTAAAATGGTTTAAGTGTTGTAAACATAGAATGACAAGCCAGATTAAATAAAAACATAAAAAAACTATATTTTTATTATAATTCATTTTTGCTAAATAAGTTGTTTAATTAAATAACATAAAAAATACATTGTGTTAACTTAGAAACAATGGTTCATATTTCAGTTATCCATCATGGTCGAAATTAGATTAGTAATTTCTAAATTAATCAATCATAATGTTAAATGGTAATACTAAATCGAAAACCATATTTACTTTTATTTAAAGTAAACCGCAGGTAAATGCTATGGAATGATATGGTTCTGATAGACGTATATTTTTTGTAATATGATTCAAAATAATTATAAATTTATTTATCAACTTAGTGTACGAGTTTTTATTTTATAGTTAATGTCTTATTATTTTCAATACGAATATGCAAAAACTTAGCTATATAGTTTTATTTTGCAAAACGCACGAATATTTCCCTAGTTTTATACTATTTCAATGTTTTGGTTATTCAGAAATTTGTTTTGTAAGATTCGCAAGTGAATTTAATCACACTGTAAATCTGATTTGCATATAATTCAATGATTAGCATTCATAGTGTGAATTTGCGCTAAAATTTTGAAAAAAAATGGTTTTTTCATTAATATGAATGTTTATTTAAATAGTACCGAAATGTATGAATTTTGATATATTTTTTTATATTTTTCCATAAGAAATAGACTTATAGATTAAAAAAAATAACAAAGCGAAGTGAGTTTTTATTTTTTATTTTTGAAAATTTTTATATATCAAGATGGATGTCAATTGAAAGATTATAGAAATTATAAATTTTGTTACATTCGTTTTTTTTTTTTATAAAAGATTAGCCATAAAATAAAAGAAAAACGAAAAAATAAAATGAGTTTTTTATTATGATTCGGTGCATTGATTTCCACCGTACATTAAGTTTTTACCATTCATCGTTTATCAAATTTCTTAATCGGAGTTTTAAAACAAAATAAATGATAATTTCGCATATACCCTTATTAAACGTCAAAATATCATATTATCCAAATTAAAACCTAAATATCATATTCACCCTTAATAATTATTTAAAATATCATATTTGCCTATATATATTTTTTATATTTTATAATATTTTTTTACTTTTAAGATTTGAATTGAGAAAAAAAAAAAACAAAAACTAGTCGTTGCACGTACTTCAAATTACACACCACACCGCCCTTATCTTCCACCGTCAAAATTTTGTTTTGACCACAAACTAAATATTATATTAGATTATTAGTCGCTTAGAGGAAAATTTGGTTTCTTTACATTTGCANTATATATATATATATATATATATATATATATATATATATTTCAATTGATGCTTCAAAGATGTTTACTATCATCGATTTTCTAACAAAATGGTAGTGTTTTATGTCATTGTATCCGGTGGCGAATTTAGAACAAAAAATTACGTGGAATGAAGAGAATTAAAAAAATCAACAATACTTGTAGGGGTCGGGTCGAATCGTGTAGTTAAAAGTTAAAACCAATCACGCACCACCGGTGATTTTTTTTAAAAACCGACTGAAATATAACTGAAAAAAACCGTACGGTTTAATGAAAAACTAGTTAATTATTAGTCCATTGATAAAACGACGAACCGAAAGTGAGAGTCTTTGGCATTTGAGCTTCTTTTTATTAGAGCAATTGATATTAACTGATTAGAAAATAACTCAATCTAACTTAATGGTTAAAGAACAAAAGATAAGTGTCTGATATTTGAGACTTAGGGGATCTCCAAACAAAAGAAAACGACTCAAAACTTTGCCTACCTTCTTCGATCCAGCTCTAAACGACTCAAAACTTTGCCTACCTTCTTCGATCCAGCTCTAACCCTATTTATTGACTCTCCTAAACTGATAAAAGGAAACTATACTCATAAAATGAAACCCTAACTTCATAAGGAAACCATAATCAACTAGATAAATACTAAATAATAAAGATACTAGAATAATCATAAATTACTAAACAGTCCCTGCCTTCTTTTTGCATTTCTTGTAGACCCAATCCCACTTATCCGCTCGATTCATATCAATACCCCCTCGGTAAAAATCCACCTTGTCCTCAAGGTGGAAATCTAGGAATTGTTGTGTGAAAAGCTCTTTTTCCTCCCATGTAGCTTCAATTTTTTGCATATCAAAGAACTATTCAGCTTTTTACACCCAACCAAATGGGTCTTCACCCTTGAACAGTGGCATTTTTAATTTCCTGAGACGGTAGTCAATACCCTGAGTCCACCCTCTTCCGTGGCTTTGAAATATGGGAAGTTCGTGCCCACTGAAAAAGTTGTATGGGTCACTCCCGTTGTGTGGATGAAACTTGTCTCCCTGCACCCAAAAGCCTTCTTTCGGATGCTTCTTCTTTCTATTAGAGGCATTGAACCCATCGTTGAATGATGATGGTGGTAATGGGAATCCCTCGTTATCAAGTAGTAGTCTTGATGACCGGCCGCTAGCATGATTGAAAGGTGGTGGGACGACCGAGATAACCTGTTGGATGGTGGTTTGCGTGGGTGTTGTAGTTTTCGTGATTATCATAGATGGGATGGTCGTTGTATGTTGTGTCAAGGATTGTATTGGAGACGGTGATGATAGCGGTGGTGCGTGATTGACAATTGGTGGTGCTGGCATTGGGGCTGGTTGTAACACTTTCAGCAAAAGTGCCATCAATTCCGCATGGCGTTGATCGGCAATCTCCTGCTGTTTTTCTGAATCCAATCGCATATTAGCCAACTCTTGCTCTATCTTCTCAAAGCGATCAGTTGACTGTGTCTGGAACTGCTCCAAACCTGCCTCCAGATTGGTCATCATAATTATTGTGCTTTAATCCTCCTTGGTTGCCATGACCAAGATAATATTAAAAAGTATGAGAACGGTAACTTTCGATGAACAGTAATTTGTGAATATTAACTGTTGGCAGTAACTTCCGATGAACAGTTGTCGTGAACAATAACTTCTGATGAACAGTACCAGTGAATAGTACTCGTGAACAATGTCTTCCAATGAACCGATGTTGCTGCCAAAATCGTTGCTCTGATACCAATTTGATATGAACTGATTAGAAAATAACTCTATCTAACTTAATGATTAAAGAACAAAAGATAAGTGCCTAATATTTGAGACTCAGGGGATCTCCAAACAAAAGAAAACGACTCAAAACTTTGCCTACCCTCTTAGATCCAGCCCTAACCCTATTTATTGACTCTCCTAAACTGATAAAAGGAAACTATACTCGTAAAAGGAAACCCTAACTTCATAAGGAAACCATAATCAACTAGATAAATACTAAATAATAAAGATACTAGAATAATCATAAATTACTAAACAGTCATTGCCTTCTTTTTACATTTCTTGTAGACTCAATCCGACTTATCCGATCAATTCATGTCAGCAATTTATTTATTAATTGATATTTTGAGAGTCCCGATTAAGAATGGTTAATTTTTTTTATCAATCCCATAATTTAAAATAACAATTTCCGTAGTAACTTCTTTTTTTCTCCCTTTAAAATGGGTTTTTAGGACATTAAAAAAAACAAACTTAGGGTATCTCCTCTATTTTTTCTAAGGTAGTTCCTAATTATTCTACTATACATATTCTAAATGAAATTGGAAATTTAGGTAGGTCCTAGGACCTACCTTGGGCCTTAGTAGATACGCCCTTTCTTAATGTCCTTTGATTTAGGTATGTCTTTAAAAAATTTACAATTTTACTTATGCATTTTTGAAATGTTTTTTTGGATTACAGTATTAGGAATTCTTTGTTTCAATGTTTATGCTCTAAAATAACTATCATTTTTGTTGGTCTGCTTGTTAAATTACATTGGATTTAAACAAAAAGTTTATATTTAGTTGTATGCCCCCGAAGTCTACCACTTTAGACATTTGTTTCGAATATGTTCTTCGAATTTTAGATTCCAAAATGTATCCTCTCAATGTTCCTCCTCCAAATTAACATCATATATGTTTCTCAACTTGTTAAAAGTATATTCCTAAAAAAGGTCATGTGTGGGATGTATGTTTAAACGTTTAATAGAGTTCTTTTTTATAAGTGGAAATGACGATTTTTTAGAAGTAAAAACACAATGTGGGTGGGCATGATAAATGAGAGTTTTGGTCAAAATAGTTGCTTAAATTCACCTATTCCAAGTGGTCATGGTTCCTCGGTTAAGGTGGAAATTCTTAGATCGCTAAACCGACTTCAGGATCAAGATGGTAATCTTAATTCTTACTGTTTAAGAAGGATTGGGGATTGCAAAAAAAACTCGGTTTTAGGAAGATGTATGGATCAAATACATTACTTTAATAAATAATTTCCTAATGATTTTTAGGTTATAGCTTAATCTTGGTGCCAGAGAGGATCCCAATGGTGATGATAGGTGGTTGGTTGTGTCGGAAGCCTTGTGGTGATGATGTGTCATTGTAATGGGTTTCTATGTATTTCTATAAAAAATGGAGATGGAGAGTCAGACTAGTTTTTCGATAAGTTAAAAGATAAAGAGGTCTTATTGTGAGATGTAGGGTTGTTTATGATGGAGGATAGGCGGAGATGGGAGATTACTTGGTTGCTTCAACAAAGGTGTTATTGATAAACAAACACTCTATTTGTAGGTGATAAACAAACCGGATGAACCTTTTGATCACGGTAATGTTTTCAGTTGAAAAATGTTACTCAATAAATTACCAACAATGTCAATTCCGGATAAAACAGGTTTAGATGTGGATACGAATCTTTAAGATATTTGCAACGAAAAAAAGAGAAAAGTATGGATCACATCTCTAAACAATGCTTGATGACGATATTTGATGTCAAAGTTCTCGGTGCTGGGATTTAGATATAAACACTTTATATATTTTCCAATAGTTGGATAATATAAGGGTCTTAAAGCCTCAAAAGAACTGTGTCGATATTGTCATTAGTACAACTTGTTGGAGAATTCGGAAATTTCTTAATGAAATGATTTTTGGAGTAGTGAAACTAAAGAAAGCGAGGTTATTTCATTACATTGTCTCTCACTCTTTCTTTTGGTTGTCTAATAAGAATGCTAAATTGAAATTAAATTGGGTAGGTTCTTTAAAAGATCATATGATAGATATTAGCACTTTATAACCTCTGCTAACTCATTGCTTGTATTTTTATAATATACTTTTGTTCCAAGAAACATTATAATCATTGTGACAACCCGATACTTTTCCAGTCAACAAAAGTCAATTCCGTTAAATAAATTTTCGAATCTCGAGTATTTCCGTTAAGTTCGTAAGGGTTAGAAAATAAATTAAATATATAAATAAAGTATATATAAATTTTCGGAACCAAAAACACTCGAAAATCAAGATTTTTCCGCGAAAATCAGCCAAACTCGTTCAACCATGCGTTTCGGCCGAAAACCCTCGGGCCGAAAACGGATCTCAGCCGAAAACCCATATTCCGGCCGAAAACCCAACCGATATAAAGGTTTTCCTTCAAAAATTGGATCATTTCTCACTCATTTCAACCGGAAACACTCTCAATTTTCTCTCAAGTATCATCCAAGAGCACTCACATCTTCAAGAAGAATCATTTGAATCTTCATATTTTTCCTCAATAACACCAAAAACAACCTTCAAACCTTCAAGTGGCCGAAAACACCAGCAGAACCGGGAACACGATTTCGGCAGCAAACCCGTATTCGGCCGAAAACCAGTTTTCGGCCGAGAACTCCTTGAGAATCGAAAACCCCTTTAACACTCGATCCATTTTCGGTAACTATTCCTAGCACAAACCAAGTGTTTTCTAACACTTTAATTAATGGTTTCGCTAATCTAAATACAATTATGTGTGTAATTATCATTAGGATACCGTTAATTCCGCGTACATCAACTCGAGGGTCATCTTTCCAGTCTCGCTGTCCAGCACGCACACTAACACAACTGTGAGTTCATACTCCTACATTTTTAACGTTTTTAATATTTTTAGGGGGGGAATACAAGTAAAACACAAGGACTATTGTGTTTATACAAATATTTTTAAATATTTTAAAAACCTTTGCAATTGTTTCAAAACGAGTATTCGCTACACTTTCTAAAAATATTATATATATTTTAACTCTTTTGTAACATGTTGAGCATAAGGGTATTTTACATTCGTACAATTAAATTGCAAACGTTTTCAGTACACTACAGAAAATTACAAACAAACTATAATTGGTATAGTTTGGGATTCACTACGTTACTTGCTAAGAATAATACACAGAAACAAAACATTTATTCAAACTATAATAAGTATAGTTTGGGGAAAACACTACTCTATTTCACTACTACAAGAATACACTACTAAAATAATTATTTAAGTATAATTATTTTACACTACAAGGTAATACATACAGTTTCAATTACAAGAGAACACTATAACACCACACGTAAACTAGTTAATACAGGGTTGTGAGGCACTACTTCGGGTACCCACCAGGGTACAGGTTCAAGTCCTATAAATTATAATCAGAGTCTCCCGGATGGAGAGCGTGAGATTTGTGTATAGATCTATACGGGACTGACAATCCCACACCCAAAATGCTAGCTACAGTTAGGCAAACATGTCTGAGGGTGACAAATGTCATATTACCGGCGCCCGAAGAACGTCGTAGAGGCCACTAGGTCATATTAGCATGGTTATATGAAACTCACAACAGTAAAACTAAAACATTTGTTTACGGGGTTAACACTACTTCAATGGTTTTATTTTCATTAATAAAACTATGGTACACTACTTTACACTACATCTGGTAATAACCAGGCATTCATACATGGTTTTCATGCAAACACCACTATGGTACACTACTTTAGTCTACAATTGGTGATTCAAGGCATTAATACTAAGGTTTTATTCAAACTCTAATACAATACACTACTTTCGCTAGAATTGGTGGTATCCAGATATACATACAAAGATTTTCATACAAATACAGATACAATACGCTGTTTTCTAACATAGAGCACACTAATACAGTATACAAATACAAGGAACATACATGATTACACTACTTTCACTATAGAAAATATTGGATTTTCTTGAGAAACACACTAGTATTTTCAAAGTACAAAGACAAGTTTTCCAACACTAAAACATACTTATGAACTCACCAACTTAAATGTTGATACACTTTCAAAATCACTTGTATTCTCAGAAAACTGATAAGACAGGTACATCTGCAGGATTTTGAGAAGACGGAGCATTCTAGAGTCACGTCTTTTATACTTTTGTTATACATTTTGATGTCATACAAATTATGTATTGAACAGATGTAAATACTCAACCTTATCAATGTAATGATTATGTTTGCTTTGATTCCTATTATACAATTGTTGTGATACTGTACATGACGTCCTCCGCCCTCGAACGTTTCTGTCATTCCGGTTTGGGGGTGTGACAATCATGAATGATACCATTTTGGAAAACAGTTTCAAAAATCTTCTTCGAATTTCAGAGTTAAAAATCATGCACGTTAACTCGCATGTTCTTCTATTGTATTGATACATGCGAGTAATATTCGAAGAAGAAATCTAAAAAAATTCGCCACTTACAAAGAAATAAAGGCATTAATTACACATTTCCTGCCGATCAATCAATATTGACTGTTTCGTTAAATTTTTAGTGCAAAATCTAGTTAATGGTTTATATCTTTAAGTATAATATATTTCGTTATATTAAAATGAAATTAACTGTGTTTGTTTTTTCATAGGTACATGTGTTGTATTATGTATTTTTTAAATGATGGGTATGGTATTTGAAGTACGATAACAAACACGTAAAATACGCAAACATAAACATTAAAT